ACGCCTTCCTTCGAAAGGGAAGTAAAGCTGTTGGTCCCCGGTTTCATGAGTTGATGGGTCGATACGTAGGGTCCAGGCACGTCCAGGTGTGGGAGCTGCCTCCCTGGCGTCGGTCGGTAGCATTGGTGCTCAGCACGGAAAACAAGATCGCCGGAAAAAAGAAAAAGAAGATTTTTGTTCGTAGCGCAGTTCGAATGTTCTTCAGAGAAATTCAACATGGAAGAAGAAAGAAGGAAAGTAATTGTGCGCAGTCATTTGGAAAACCCTTCGGTGTCTGGACCCAAGCTTGCAAAAGTGTTAGGTTTTCCCACAAATATCGAGTGGCGTGTACTGGAAAAGTACAGAGAAACCATTTCGACGACCATTAAGTCTAACCCAAACATCTCGGACCGTGATTTGGCCAGAAAGATCGATGCCGCACGCAGTACCGTGCAACAGATTCGTCTCCGAGAAGGCTTCAAGTCATACCGTGCCTGCAGACAACCAAATAGGGATCAAAAGCAGTACAATGTGGCCAGAATCCGTGCCAGAAAGCTGTATGATCAGGTGTAGACTAATACAAAGGTTTTCATCACGGATAAGTGGAAAGTGAATATTACCATTCATCCGATCCCACAAGCAACCTGTAATGGGAACATTCGATTTGATGTTTGGGTAATGCCGATTGACGTATAAACGATGTAATTTGATCGTTTACATGTCAAACGACACAAGCCAAACTTCAAATCATATGTTTCCTACACGGTAAGAAAAAAGTACCCAGGCCAGTTCACTTTTTCTTACTTTGAGTAGTTTGTCTCCTTTTCTCCTTCTAATGTTGTCAAAAACGGAGGAGCAAAACCACCCAATAGGGGTAGTAAAGTGTGGGAAACCAACGTTGAGTATAATCATATTTACCTACTGTTGGGTACAACTAACTTACTTTTGGCTAAAAAGCCAGTGGAAAATTCCATACTAACTGCACATAAGTAAATGAAAATTACTTTGACCCGCTTTACCTACTTTTGGGTTACTGCACTATAGTGCCGAGATGAGTGAAAAGAACTATACTTTTTTCTAACCGTGTACCAGAAACTCAACCAGATTGTGGCGGCCATGAGCGCTCGTAAAATGCTGGATAAGCGGTCCGCAACCAAAGCTGGTAAATATCACGGCTGTCATGTGACAAAGAGAAAACAGGTCCTCTCACTATTATGAGACAAAGTGACCGATCATTAGCCTTCTTGTCATTTTCCAATGATCAAGCACTCATGAGAATAATTCTTATGCGGTTCTGACATCAACATCTAACTGATTTACATAGATTTAAACAAGTAACCGTATGTAATCGGTAGAGTGAATATATTTTTAAGATTTCCTCGGTACAGGTAACTTTAATAGCAATACATGAGCTAGTAATCTAATTTGAAGAAAATCTCTGTCATTGTTTTCTCATTCGATGATAGTGACAGAAGTATCTCTGTAAATATTGCGTGAGATTTTTCATTGAAAATGACATTTGCCAAGGGTCTTCCACGAGCATAGTCAAGGTCCCGTGGCAGTAGAGGACCACCGGTCTAATTAGCGTCTTGTAGCGGTCTAAATAGCGTCAACTCCATGCGGCGGCGAATTTCATTCGACCGGAGCGTCCTTCGGAGTCCAAAGAAGGCACGATTCTTTGCAATAATGCGTCTTTGAATTTCTCTGCTGGTATCATTTTCAATGATCACCAGTGAGCCCAAATACACAAACTCGTCGACCACCCCAATTTCGTCACCGTCAATCTGTACTCTTCGATGTCATCAACGAAGCCAAGAAAATGGATGAACTTCCTGAAAATCGTACCACTCGTGTTCATCACAGCTCTTGTTAACATACCTTCTACATAACATTGTCGTAGTCCCCTTCGAGATTCCAAAGGACTCAAGAGTGTCCCCGATACTCGAACAACGCACACCACTCGATCCATCGTCGCCTTGAACAATGCGCCGTATGCTGGTTTGAAATCGATTATCAAAGAGGGCACGTGTGGGCACGTTTCCTGGCATTTCTGTAGAACCTGCCGAATCGCAAAAATTTGGACCGTGGTAGCGCGGTCACCCATGCATCCCACCTGGTATTGCCACACGAACACTCTTACAAATGGTGACAGGTGGCGGCATAGAATTTGGGAGAGTACCTTGTAGGCGGCGCTCAGCAGTGTGATCACGCGGTGTTTGCTGCAATCCAACTTGTTGCCCTTTTTGTAGATTGGGCATACGACACCTTCCATCCACTCCTCCGGTAATATCTCCTCCTTCTAAATCTTGACAATTACCCAGTGCTCATTGTTTGTTGTTTTTCAGCCGAACGATCTCCTCCTCAACTTCTTGGCGATCAGGGGCCTGTCGTTTTCTGCACAAGCTCCTAGATCTGTTGCCGTGCCACCTTTATTTTCTACTGCATCACCGTTCAGGTGCTCGTTATAGTACTGCCTCCACCTCTCAATCACCTCACACTGGTTCGTGGGAAGGTTACCGTCCAAGTCCTTGCACATATCGGCTTGCGGCACGTAGCCTTTGCGTCAACTATTTTTAGCTTCTCGTAGAACTTCCGTGTATCTTTTACACGGAACAGATTTTCCATCGCCTCGCGATCTTCTTGCTGACGCTTCTTCCTTCGAAAAACCGAGTTTTGTCTGTTCCGCGCTTGTCTTTATGGCTCCACATTCCATTTCGTACGGGGTTGCAGCATTCTCGCAGTACCGGAGTTGATCTGGCACCCATGCATCCGAAAATTCTCAGCTTCGAAAGATCAGGTTTCACAGCAGTAGGGCAACGATTCAATATACCTATACGTACCAGTAAGCACTGCTGGCCACATGTACTTGGGCATATTCGAGCCAATCAGTATTGTTCTTACCTCCTCGATTAGCGTTCGATTGAACCTTTCGGCAACCCCGTTCTGTTGCGGACAATAGGTTACGATTGGCTGGATTTGAATCCCCTTTCGCTTGTAGTATGCTTCTTGTTCCTTAGAGCAGCACTCACGTCCTTGATCCACGGTAAGCTTGCTGATCGATTTACAATCTGGGCAGTCACCATCGCTTCATACTCTTGAAAACGACCAAAAAGTTCAGACTTCTTCTTGATCACGTAGACATACGCAAAGTGACTATAATCGTCGATAAATGACACAAAATACTTTGATCCGTCCCAGGCCGGAGGATCGATTGGTCCACACACATCCGAGTAGATTCGCTCAAGTAGGCGACTAGCTCTTTCACGAGTTCCATCGAAGGGTTCTCTACACTGCTTGTCAAGTACGCAAGTGTCAAAAAATCCGACAACGTTGACCTTTGGACAGAATCAATCTACCTTATTGTACTGCACCAAAGTGTTCATCATGGTCTGACTGGCGTGACCCAATCGACGATGCCAGAGGTTTCCATCGCCCGCAATTACCTCGTAGATGCGCTACTTCAATAACTGCGTCATTCTTCTTTATCATCGCTTGATGCTTTCCAACACGACTTGTGAACAGTACGTCGATTCCCGTTTGGGACATCTTCTTCATGGACAGCACGAATATTACATTCTTCATTTTAAACCGCACACCTTCTCTGGACTATCAAGTAACTTTACCTTCGTAATTTCCAATAATCGATCACGAACGGTTGTTTGAGCTTCCTCACCGACTGAGCATGCATTCCAGCTGTTCACCAGATGGTCACTACATCCAGAATCCACAACTAATACGGACTTTTTGTGTTATGTCTCGTTCACCATGAACGAAACAGACTTGTTAACGGCTGCATTCACCTTACCTTCTGGCTTCTGGCTTCTTAAAATGGCAATATGTCCCACCTTTCCGCAACGATGGCATTTCCCAGCGAACATTTGGGGCTTCTTATTTCTTCTTCCGACAAACGCTGCACTCCTATCTTCACAAGAATTTTCCATCCAATCAGAGTGTTTGGATTCCTTCGCCAACAATCGTTGCTTCACGGTTTCCAACGTCTGGTCCTTTTCGTTGATGTTCTCTAAAGCTGATACTGTTGGAAGTGATGCCTGAAGTACTTTCCTTCATTCGAAGTCTTGCCAACTGCTTCCGTAACAGGGTCTGACTTGCCACTGACTTCTTCGCCTCAACAGCCTTCCACATATCGCGAGCCGTCTCCTTATCCTGTACTATGCCAAGACACTCATCAGAAAGGAATCCGACCAACGACAACGACTTCGCTTTCAGATCTGTCTGCATAAGCTTCACTTTCCCATGTATTGTTGCACCAGGAACTTGTCCCGTAAACGAAAACTGAAACTGAAACTTCTGCCGCATCCAGATGGAGTTAAACTCGAAAAGGCTAATTCTTGAAATTTGTTCAATTCAACTGCGGAATTCTAGAACCTATATTTTTTGTTAGGTTAAAAATGTTGGGTACGCAAAGGACAACCAAGTGATTATTTGTTTCGTAGACTAGGTGCCGTTCTAAAGAATTTTCGAATGAGATGATATGAGCTATGCATAACCTAGGGTGTCTAAAATGATCCATTTTGCTCCGCACATCTCAATCCACACTAAATCTGCAATTTGCTTCTGTTCTGAAATCTGATTGATGATTCATGAGTGACCCATTTTTCCTCACCTTTAAGTGAACAAAAAAAAATCGGCGATGCATTACTCAGAGTTCAGGGTAGGTTTAATTAAAGAAAAAACAAATTTGTGAAATGAAAATAAATCCTTCATTACGTAACGTTAGGGAAGTTAAAAGAATATAAAAAATGATTTGTCTAATCTTTTGTTTAGTTAAATTCCTCATAATGAATAATGACTACTGAAATAAAATATTTGTCAAATTTGCTGAAGTTGCTGATAATTCCGACCAAATCAATTCAATGTTTTGCTTGTAATTATCAATCGTAGCCGTGTTTACCAGTCTTACGGTCAACTTCCAACTTCAAGCAATACCGAAACTAGGGAGCACTATAAACTAATCTGCAAACTACCTAATTTCATCCTAAGGTCAAAAGTACAAAACTTACGTCGTTGCAGGTGAGTAAAGCTCGTTGTTTGTATCTAAACTGGATTTTCTGCACGTGAAATGGGTACATGAAACGAACAAACACGGTGTTGTTGGAATGATATGCTGATGGGATGAGCTTTACAACATTTGAACTTACCTCGTCTGAGGAGTAATTGGTGAATCCCGGATAGCACTCATGGTAACTTCAAACAGCACAACCAGCAGGCAGAGTAGTAGGGGACCCAGCAGGGCGCCCTCCAGCCCAAACAGGTACATTCCACCGGCAATCGATAGGCCGGTCAGGTACGGGTGGCCACCACTGAAAATTCGAAAATTTACCTTTCAACAGTCACACGGATATTGTAGAACGAGGTGTGTTTACCCCTTGATTTCCGAATGTATGATCGGATTAAAGTTGGACGGAACGATAAAGTGAACCAGCACCAGAATGGCCCCCAGCCAGAAGCGATCTTGCGACAGCCATAGGTCCAAGAACGCCGGTACGCTGCACCAGTAGGTTTCCAGGAAGGGCGCTGCGGCTAAGATCGATGCTAACACTGCCGGCAGGTAGACGATATGTGCTCCAACGATCGTATGCGTCAGCCAAGTGAAGAGACCGTGGAACAGTGCCAACTTGAGGGTTGCCACGACCACACTGGAAATGGAATCCTCCAGTGCCTGGATGATTCGAGGGCCCCACGAGTTGTTGATTGTGATCGCAGTGGGTGCGTAGCGATCTTGACTGCTTTGTAGCAGATAGAATAGAGTGGTGAAGAAGATGATCTGTAACAGGTAGAAATCGGTATGTATGTTGTTTTTTGTTTTGATGGAAACTAAAATGCTTACAGTATGAAAAAGGAACTTTAGTACGGCATGACCTCCACCGAGAATTACCGAGACAAGAGTTCCAATTGCAGAAGCCAACAGAGTCAGATTGGTTCGCAGCAGAATCCACAACGAATCGGCTACCTCCAGCAACATTCCGATATTACTTTTTACAAATCCAATGATGCCTGCCTTGGTAACTGGGAAAGGTAGAACATTATTTACTTAACAGCTTTCTTATGCCTATTTCTATACTGCCGTTATACGCATAAGAGTCCCACGGTACATAAGAATTGCATAGAACATGGGACAGTTTTGCGTATAACGGCAGTATAGGTCTATACTAACTTGGATTGATGAAAATCTCATCGATCGTCGTGCGGATTGATTGACTGGTGACACGGGGTCCAACCAAGCCGTCACCATTGTTTCGATCCATCCAGCTCTGGATCAGTCTATCCCATACGCTCAGGATCTGGCATTTGAGCTTTTTGGCCTGCGTGGGATCCGTATCGTTGAAAATGTCATCCACATACTGCTCTATGTGGGATCTTCCATATTTGTAAGCATTGTCGATAATGTTATCCATCGATTGCATGTCTGAAATATAAAGAAGCAAATGAGTATTCTAACCGAATAGTACTATAAAGTTTTTTTTTTTCGCCGATTACCGATAGGCAACATTTCGATCAACTCTGGACGATGGGTCAGCGTCCGATTGACCAGATTGCTTCCGAGCTGCGCCACGGCGATCGTTTCCGAGTAGATCTGAGCAAAAGCAAACACACTAACCAGCATGACCAGCACGCTGAGAAAGCCGATCATAACAATCGAACTGATGTCGTCGATGTAGGATCGAATTTTGGCACAAGCATACCGATGTACGTTGGCATTGACCCGCAGAATTCCGGGCAGACATAGTGGTAACAGAGCTGAATGTCGCGGAAACAACCAGAGTTTTAGCAGTTCCCAGTAAACGTGAACCATGTTGGAAACGTACTGAACCACACCGAGGTACTCGGCCGTGCGTTTGACTAAGTGTAGAAATATCGGGATAACTCCTAGAAATAAAATCCACGTGTGCATCCAAATGAGAGCTGCTCCACATGCATAGAAGAGTATTCTAAAGTACAGGTCACTTTCCAGAGCTTCATGAGTACGGTTCATTGTAGAATTGATGGTGGCATTTCGAGTATTGTTCATGGTACTGGACAATTGAGGAGTAGTTGTAACGTCTAGCTGCATTTTCGCTTTGATGTCTTCGATCCTAGAAGAATCAGCCGTATCATCGGCGGAACGGGGCACAGGTTCAATTTTGCTGTCCTCTAACCGATAGCTGGTTATATCCAGCAAACTGTGCCACTTATCAATAAATCGAGCATTTTTCTCATCTTTCTGGAGGTTGTAGATTAGCCCGATGGCTCCATAGGTTAGTAGTCCCAAGAACACGGGTACCTGTAGGGCACCGAGAAAACTGCATCCATATCCGACTATTAGTACCCATAGCATCTGACCGATTATGAGAAACGGTGTGGACAATTCCGGTTTCCATAGCATGTATACGCTTACGACGTACAGGACGATGATTATCACCAACTGAAATAGATGCAATAATTAGCACGTTGTTCAAACTTGGTAATCCCACACACTACAACCCTGTTGAAGAATGTTATTTGAATAAATCACCTCACCCACAACGGTCCTCGATAGTATAGTGGTCAGTATCCCCGCCTGTCACGCGGGAGACCGGGGTTCAATTCCCCGTCGGGGAGAGGCGTGATTTTTTTTCAATGCTCCCTTCTCAAAATCGCATCATTTACTTACCATTTGCAGCGTCAGCGAGCTGAGCAGAGCCCGAAAGAGCGAATGCTTCCACATGATAAAATTCCAAATCGTCAGAAACACCTCGGTCGGTGCAACCCACATCAGCAGTCGCAACAAAATCAATCCTCCGAACCCGATTCCAATTATCTTCAGGTGCCCCAGCAGCCATTCGGTCAGGTACTCGCCCAGTGAATCGACACCATGAACCGGAGCACCCAGCACCCCTAGCACCAGATACTTTTCGTCCTTTTCGATGCGTTCGATCCACCGATTGAGGGCTTCCGCAAGGTGTTTCTTCGCCGGAAACAGGACCGCCCCAAACAAGAACGCCCATAGGAGGGGTTTGAAAAACGGTGCCAACACTAGGGTTACACCGATGACCACTCCCACCACGGCCACCATCATCACGTTGTACAGGGCATTGCGGAGGGGTTTTTCGTGACCTTGATTTCGGAGCACCAGCCACGCATTGAACAGCCCGTCGATCGAACGTTTGAACGGTGCCGGACTCGGACGAGCACTCATCGCTTTCGGGACACTGGGCGGTAGCCAACGGAACCTTTTTTTTTTATTGTAGAATAGTATTCTGTTTTTAGACACTTTACACAACTCTTCAGCACAACCGAACGAATGGTTCCATTTCTTCCAAATAATCCACTACAATAAATAATGCACAGCAAATTCTTGTACAATGCAGATTTCGTGTTTTTTTTTCAACCGAGTTTTACAAATTTTACAACATTCTATTTTTAGCGATGAAATCATAAACAAAGCGCTGTCATAAATTATACTGAGGTTCGAACAGAGCTGGGAGCTATTTATCTGAACTTGTGTGTATTATTAGGGCACATTCGTAAATCACATAAAGAGGTAATGAAATTGGGTTGTTAGCGGAATGCTAAATAAAACAGCAAAAAAGGTTATCTTCCATTTAATTCCACTTAATTTTGGTATCCATGACAGATACGTATTTCGACTGCAATGTGCAGTCTTCATCAGTGTCATTCCCACTAAAGAACTTATCAAAATCTAACCCCCCTGGAGGTGAAAGCATACGATTTCCCACTCTAGGAGTCTGGCCGTGAATTAGTGTTTTCCGGAATAATTTTTTTGTGGAGCTGGCTCTCAAATTGTACTCAAGGGAAAAAAAATTATAAAAGGATTAAAGACGAGTGTTTCATATGCAAGATGTAGGAGAACTGCTTCTAAGGGTGAGTCGGTTTGTCGGTGGTTGCAGTTTCCTTCACACATCACTATTAATAATGAATTGAACTGATTCCCTGGCGCTTACAATTTCTTAATTTAGAAAAATGTGCCTTCCCGTTTTTGGCAACACGCGATTTCTGTCTTTTTTGCATCCTATAAAATGTATCGAACGCTTTATTCAATGTGATTTTGTACTGGACCACTCTTCATGGGTTTGAGGTCCATGTGGTATTTCATAAAAAAAAATGCCCAGAAAGCACTACCCAACTAACAATTTTGGCTGCAGACTAGCTAATACAGCCAAACCTTTCCTTATGCAGCTAATTTGTGCCTGTATAGACTGGTCTGCAGCTAGAATTGTTGGGTAGTAAATATCTGAGGAAAGTAATTGCTTATGAGGTTGTGTTGACAAAACCATGTAGACACCGCACCTGGATTTTTTTTTTTGAAAATTACTGGAAAATCTATTCTCTAATCCGGGAAATTAGTTTTCTTCATTGAGTCGACACCCTGTTCTAGCAATTGCCCGAAAAATACTCCTTTTAAATTCCCTTGTAGTTCTCTTCAGCATGCACTTAGTATTCTCCTGAAATTCCCATGGTATTCCATAGGAATTTCTTTTCAATTCTGCTCAGAATTCCCATTAATTCTTTGAGGACCATATTTCCTTGGAACTCTCTTTTGAAGTTTCTAAACATTATCACCGGAATATCATTGGAATACTTCTAAGAATTCAATGCCCCGTAACGTGGGTAGATCACCTTTTCGTGGTACGTTACGGGATGTAAGATCTACCACCGATTCCTAGTCCTGACTACTTTAAACTAGGGGAACAGGATTTTTCAGTAATCCAAGGAACACGTCTTAGTCCTTGTTACTTTTTATGCCTTGTTGATAGTGACAAGACTCGGCTTTGTCCACCGAGGATGATCTTGAAACAAGGAAAAAATGAGTTAGTTGTAGTCGAAATACGTATCTGTCATGGATACCAAAATTAATTTAGTGGAATTAAATGGAAGATAACCTTTTTTGCTGTTTTATTTAGCATTCCGCTAACAACCCAATTTCATTACTTCATTATGATGGCTACCAAGCCTTTGGGGAATTTCCTTAAAAGAGAGTTGTATAGATTTTTCTCCTTTAGCTTACATAAATCTTTGGTTTTTATTAGTTAGGTAGGTTCCGATTCAACACATTGTAGTTTCACTTTTATACCTATTATCTTGACTTTTTTACCTAGGAGATGAGTACTTAAGGGGGTTAGATTTTGATAAGTTCTTTAGTGGGAATGACACTGATGAAGACTGCACATTGTAGTAGAAATACGTATCTGTCATGGATACCAAAATTAAGTGGAATTAAATGGAAGATAACCTTTTTTGCTGTTTTTTTTTAAATCACATAATGCCAAACAATATTGCATTCACCCACCCATTTGTGACACTTTTGAGACAAGTTTAATATGAAAATAACTCCCCGCTACATTTCGTAGCACGTAACATTTTTTTAATCGAAAAAATCTCATATCTTATTTATGTTTCAAATGATTCTGTGACACTACCCCGAATGTCACTACCCCGAACGCCATAACCCCGAACGCCATTACCCCGAATGCCACTACCCCGAATGTCCTACTACACTGAATGGGCATTACCCCGAATGCCCTACTACCCCGAATGGCCATTACCCCGAAATTAAGACAAATGAAAGAACAGCAAGGGGTCAAAAGAAGGGTACATTTTTAGAAGGAAATTTCGTTTTGGAATTTATATATATATTTATATATATTTATATTATTAAATGATTATTTTTTATTGGAATTGGAAGCTTGTTTTACGCGAGAAGCCCGAGAGATGTCGTTACTGAGGTCCTATGTTTTGAGATACTATGTTTTCAAGAAAAACTTTTTCAAAGTGTTATGTCTGTTGTCTGTGATTAAACTCTCTGATTAGTTTCACTTTACTAAATTGATGATAAACTACGTTTACTTTTATGGAACTATGTATTTATCAATTCCAAACCATTTTAAAGCTCTTTAGAAAATGACAACCTTCAAGTTTTCGAGCACTTCGTTCACCATTTAAAAAGTCAAAGGGTCTAATATGCAATCCAATTCAATATGCAATACCAGTCGGAAACTGTTAAACCTTATCAAAGAATTGTTCGATCTGAGTCTAGACCTGAGTTGAAGAATTTCTCGTTATGGATTGAAAAATCGGTGCATGGAACGTTGAACTATCGATTACAAATTTATAACATTATTCCACACGTTATTATCCCAAATGGTCATTACCCCGAATCCCTTGCCAAAAGCTATTGATTACATATTTTCCTTATATATTAAAAGAAGGGAATATTCCCTTCCCGTCTTATCATACATCCAAAGAATAAATTATTTTCTTTTTATATATTCAAAGAAAGGAATATTCCCTTCTTTATCGTTCATCCAATAATTAAATATTTCCTTTTGTTATATTTTCAAAGAAGGGAATATTCCCTTCTTTATCATATATTTAACGAATTGATTATTTTCTCTTTTATATATTAAAAGAAGGGAATATTCCCTTCTTTATCGTATATCCAAAGAATTAATTATTTCCTATTGTCATATTTTCAAAGATGGGAAACCCCCTTGAGCCATTAAGGGGCTGTTCATTAACTACGTAGACAGTTTTTTTGGGATTCTTGACCCCCCCCCCTTCCCCTGCGTAGACAATTTTCCATACAAAATTTTTAAAATTTGTATGGATCGTGCACAATTGCCAACCCCCCCCCCCCCTTCCCTAAACTGTCTACGTAATTTATAAACATATCCTAATAAGTTTTTCTTTTCTTTTTATATACGCGAAAGAATATTCCAGGAATGACTATAATAAACAAAAATAGTCAATCTAATACATGGCATACTTTTCTGGGGAATGGTACATTCTGGGGAATGGTTCATTCTGGGAAATGCTTTTCTGGGGAATGGTGCATTCTGGGGAATGGTGCATTCTGGGGAATGGTGCATTCTGGAGAATGGTTTTCGGGGGAATGGTTTTCTGGGGAATGTTATAGAATCCTATCATTTGTATTCAGTATAAATTGACCACTTTGTCAAGCAGTTTTGGCGTGACTTTCTACCAGCGATTTCACAAAACTGGACCAACTAATTTCTATTTTTAATTATAAAACGCACAAATTTTGGTTACTTTTCTCGAGATTCTAGAAGAAAAAATCTCAAAATAATGTTTTATTTCAAAGTTCGAGTGGTAGTAAACGTCATTTTAAGTGCTCGAATGAAGTGGTTAATTAGAAAAGAAAATTTCCTTCTCAAAAATTTATCCCATGCTGTTCTTCTATTTGTCTTAATTTCGGGGTAGTCGCCATTCGGGGTAATGGCCATTCGGGGTAGTGTACTATTCGGGGTAACGGCGTTCGGGGTAGTGTACCGTTCGGGGTAAAGGCGTTCGGGGTTATGGCGTTCGGGGTAGTGACATTCGGGGTAGTGTCACAGAATCGTTTGTTTTGGGTCTCCCGCATAAACGTGAACCATAACCTGACCTTTAAAAAAATGGTTAAAAATGGTTTATAATCCCTGCAAAACTTTAACTGAAATGGTAATGGAAATTTACATCAACGTGTATGGGATTTGAACTCGGAAATATCACTGCTTTTCCATACTTCTTGGTTCAGTCATCAGGTCTATCTGTAAAATTTATCCCATTATAACTGAAATTCGGGTTTGACCTCGGGTTTGACTGGAAAAAAAACGTCTGAAAAATATTTTTAAATGAATTATTCGGTTTTTTAGTGATAACCGAACCCTAATAAAGTTTGTTATGGTTATTTTGTTTAACGACGTATTCGGGGTATCATCCAAACCATTTGGGTTACCATTCATTTATGGTATTGGTCAGGGTATTGGTTTATTAGAGAAGAGTTGTTCGGTAGAAACTCAAGCCGAATTCGGCATTATTTTCTAAGTGTAGGGGCGATTCAAATAACATCCCGGAGTTTTTCGATTTTTTACTCCTGTGTCACATTTTTTCCCATACCTAAAGGGTGTCCACTATGAAATTGCCACACACAAAATTGATTCGCAAAATTCGAGTTTTCATCCGATTGCCATCAAATTTTCAGGGATTGAGAAATAACTATTAAATTTCGTTTTACCATTTTACTCGTATTTTATTTACAGTCCATACGCAAATGCCCGCACCTTGGCCTTAACCCCGGCCATAAGATTCTGTACAACCTGTGAATCAACCGTTTTTTGCATGTAAACCCATACTTTCTTCAGTTCCTCGACTGTCTTCACTACCTTAGGTCGTTTAAGAAGGTGCTGCTTCATAATCGCCCAGTTCTTCTCGATGGGGCGGAGCTCCGGAGTGTTGGGAGGGTTGAACATTTTCGGCACGAAATTGACCTTGTTGTCCGCATACCACTTCAGCACGTCCTTGGAGTAGTGGCATGAGGCCAAATCCGGCCAGAAGATTGTTGGGACGTTGTGGGCCTTCAGGAGAGGAAGCAGCCGCTTCTGGAGGCACTCTTTTATGTACACCTGTCCGTTCATCGTGTCCTGGGTCACGAAAGGTGCACTCCGCTTCCCGCACGTGCAGATGGCTTGCCAAACCAGGAATTTCTTCGCAAATTTGGACATCTTCTGAGTGCGGACATGCTCCGGAACGCTGAACTTATCCTTGGCCGTGAAAAACAGGTTGCCGGGGATCTGTTTGAAGTCGGCCTTCACATATGTTTCGTCGTCCATGATGCAGCATTCAACTTTCGTCAGCATGTTGAGGTACAACTTCCTGGCACGGGTTTTGGTGGACTTGTTCTGCTTCTCGTCGCGATTAGGGGCCTTTTGTACCTTGAACGTTCGAAGCCCAGCCTTAGTTTTCGCCTTCTGGACAGAACTTCGGCTTAGGTGCAGCTTCTTAGCCACATCCCTAACGGAGGCGTTCGGATTTCGGTTGAAGGCCCCAACTACGCGGTTGTGATTTATGGTGTTGTACGGAATACTTTTTCCTTCACTTCTGGGCTTCCTATCGGTGGTCAACCGTTCCTCGAACCGCTTAATCACTCGTGAGACCGTGGAATTCGCGATTCCCAACGTTTTAGCGATGGAACGATGCGAGAGATCCTTGTTCTCGTGATGAATGCGCAAGATTTTATCACGCACGAGCTGTTGTTTCGACTCCATTTCCGCGAGTTTTGATCACAGGACTTTAAAACTTGCAGGATATAAATAATTCACTATGAACTAAATCCACCCAAATTTTCATTAAATTCTACCCAACGGTTAAAAAGTAAGAGCAATTTCATAGTGTGGCAATTTCATCGTGGACACCCTTTATTGCACGTATGTCACAATCTCAAGGACCACCCCCTCCCTCCACCGTCAATTAAAAAATATTAATATGTGCAAATTTGCTTGACTTTTCTCCCTCCCTTCGTTTACATTTTGCTAGTTTCGCCCTAATCACAATTTGCTCCGGAAGTTTCGTTTTCAGTGTCAAACACTTTACACAGAAATTCAAAACAATCCAAAATTAAGTTCTTTTCAGTCATCTCCCATGTTCCGTACGATAAGCCAAATTTGGGTAAACCGGCTCAAAGTAGTTTGCATTTTAGCACGACAAAAAAAATTACCCATCACTAAGTTATTTTCAATTTTTTCTACCCAAAATTAAGTTCAATTAACTCAAATTTGGGTATATCGCATATTACTCAAATTCGGCTTCTCGTACGGAACTAGACGGTTGAGTCGAATCTTTCGTTCTATTTTTGACAACAATAGCGAGAGTAAAAGGTCAAATAACTCAAATTTGAGTTTAAAAAACCCAAGCGGTGGGTAGTTTTGTTTACACGGGCATGCTGGATAACCGAGGTGAAGCAATCGGTTAAGTTGTGTGAGTAAAACCCCTGTACGATACAAGCAATTAGTGACGTCACTACTTGCGTTTACGTTGATTTTTTGGATTACTAACACAACCATATTTCACGATCTGCTTCACCTCTGTCTGCTCATTGATGCCAGTGCACTGGCTGTTTCGAAAAATAAATTCTAACCAATTCTAGCACCCTCTATAGAGGGTTGACGGCGTTGACGGTGACGCTGTAGCTCTTTACTCCTATGGTAAAATCCATAAGCAAACGTCAGACTGTGAGTGAAACATGGCGGACTTCGTACTACCCTTTCACTCCACTGAAAATTCCCGTAAGAAACTGTCAGTTTTTGCTAGAAGAGACGATTTTTCGGAGGTACCGTCAACGCTAATATAAAGATGATTTTGTGTATACACCTTCAAGCTGTCGATTTACTCACACGATGCAGTAAATAATAACAGAACGAAAAACCGTTGTATCGTTGGTGTTCACAAGACCCTCAGTTTGCCGGAAAATATTGACATTCTTCAGCAATATGAGCGATATGAACTACTCGGAGCAATCGGAACAGATCCGTGAATATCAAGACATGGTGGTGACTCTTCGCCAAGATGTCTCGAAAATTTACAAAGGCTTACTGATGAAGGAGTGTCAAGTTGTGTCAAATAACCTGGTAAGAGCGGATAAACATTTATCTTCATTCCATTGGAGGCGAACCAGCCCAAGGCTGAAAGCCTCCCTAATAAACATAAATTAATTAATTAATTATCTTCATTCCCAAAAATCTAAACACTTCTTTCTTCTATACTATTAGGCCGATGCAAAATTCAACATTCCCCGCCAAAATTTGGAAGTACTGAAGTCTTTGTACCGGGTCGATCTAGAAGGAACTCGGTTGCGGGAAGCACCCACTCAGACACGGCAACTGCATAACCATGCCCAGCTACTACGAAAGTGTGTTCAGAATAAGCGAAATGGAACGGACAAGATGGCCCGTTGCCGGTCTTAGACTTAACTAAGCGGTACGTCAAACAAAACTCTCTTATGAAACGAACGAACGATTTGTATGCATGCCATTAGTTTATATTTTCAGTCATTTTCTAAATCTAAAATTGTGTGCAACTCATTGTAAATCATTTCCAAACAGTCCACCCGCGGGTTAAGTTGCTGAAATAGAAAATATTATTAGCAATACTTTTCTCGGCTTGTAATCATCAGACATAAAATTTCACTAATTTACATTGAGCAAGGTGATTGCAGGCCTGTGTTTAAAGAGATTTCCTTTGGTTAAAACAGTGAGGATGTAGACGACTTTGAGCTGAAATAGTGAGGATTAATTACCAATGTTAAAAATAAAATAAACCAATAAAAGCGTACATTATGGAATGCCTCGTTAATTACTACATCGTGGATGTGTTTGATGGGAATTAGTACATTTTTAGTTGATCCCCCAATGAAGTTGGTCGAATACTGTAGCGCAAAATCTTTAACTAAAACTAGATTTTCTGCAAAAGAAATGAGCTGTTACAAATGTCTAAACAGCGAATTTTTCAGTAGCTTTCATAACAAACCATTCTTGACTATCCGGGTGTAGCTGAAACCTACTATCAACAGAACGATGCCGAAAGAACCATGAAGCCACAGTACGGTTCTACCATTTCCGGCGACTAGAATTGCAAACGCATAGAGGAAAAGTACCGCCGCAGCAAGCTTCAAACGCAGCAGTCTCTCTCGATTTAGTTCGATGTTGTCGATCGATAAATTTAGCACGTTCGGTGACTTTTGAATTATCCTAGCGTTAATCTTCGTACCACAGTTTGTCCAGTATGTACCCATTATCGAAAATTTAACCGATGGGTGTGGACATTGACATGGAAGATGTTTTGGTTTGCTTGCTGATAATACGATGTGTGAACGTATGAGTGCTTAAAATGACAGAAGTAAAGCTTTTGATAGGGTGACCAGTAAATTGTTCAGAAAATACAATTTTTTAGATGTAAGCCGAAATTTGTGACAGTTCACGCTATTCTTAGGCTACTCAGTGACTGGGTAGATTGCACCCATTCTTGCACGACGTATGAAGTTGTCAAAATCAGGGTACACCAGTTTTGTGTAGATGAGTAGAATCTACCGAGATTCTGGGTAATTGAGTCTTATAAACAAAATCATAAGTTAAAATGGCGTGGCGAAAAACTAGTGAACGATTTGCGATTGCTTTAATAATTACTGTTTTAAATCCAATCAAAATGGAATCATTTGTATTCATAAACGTAGCCAGAAGGGGTAGGGGTTGGGGGGCAACTGTCCCCATCTAAACTCAGAAACACAAAGGCTTTCGGTGAAAAGGCGGTCGGTGAAATGGCATTGAATGTATCCATTGTAAAAAAGCCAGAATTTGTAAAAAAAAACTCGAAAGCAAAATAAATAATAAACACGGAAACTTTCATACACGGCCCCCTCACTCAAAAATAAATTTATTCAAATAAAAACTTAAAAGTATTCCCACTTCCACTTCATCTAAATGAGTCCGAGCTATGATTACTTCAACAGTAGTCATGCATGATTAAATTCACTTGTTATAAAAATGTATCTATTTTGTATTAAATTTTATTCTTGTAGAATATTAATACATAATCAAAAATGATTAAAATTCAATCCAAAAAGAATTCAAAATTCAATCAGAAATGATTTAAAAATCAAAAATGTTTAAAATTAATTCAAACGAGATAAATTTCAATTTAATCAACCATGATTAAACTGGGTTTAATTTCAGATGATTATTTTTTAGCAATTTTTAATCATTCGATATGATTAAACTGAGTATAATGTCAAATTGATTAAATTTCAAGCAAAATGATAATAGTTTATCAGTGAGCCTGAGACGAACCAGCGTTTAGCTGAAAGTCTCCTTAACAAAGATAACTAACTAATTTATCAGTGTGGACAAACACCTTCTCGAAAATAGGATTATCATTATGGACGTCTGTCAAGACTTGTTCCAATCGATCTGTCAAATGCACGGCTTTGTTCGACTGTAACAACTTTTTCAGTTCTGTGGTGACAGTCGTCTATACTTCTAGTTCTTTTCTTAAATCTGAAGATACAAGAAAAACTAGTTAGAACCTGGGTACTGCGAACACAGCCGTTTTTGTTTTGCAAGTCAGCAGGAAACAACTTGAAAATTTTCCGATATCACAAATTGTTTTGCTAATGCACTGCTCACAATTTGCATATTAGGTTCTGCAGCGTGACGTCACAAATGAACTCAGTGTTAATAGGCTGAACCTTTTTGACAGTTCAGTGGTACTGTTTACAAGCACTTAGTCGTTTTTTCGAAAAAACAAATTCTAAAATTTCAGAATTTTAACTTTAAAATTGTCGAGGAACAGCGCGGTGAAAGGATGTTGCTCGTGGACAATGCAGAAGTGTGGTTTACATCTCACTGCAGTCTGAAAAATTATCGAGAAAATCTAGCCAAGAAAAAAACGACTAAGTCCACGTAAACAGTACCACTGAACTGTCATCAGATTGAGGTTAACCCCGACGGTGCAAAACCTAATACATGCTGTCGAAAGTTCACCCTTTGCTCCATAAATAACGTGTACATGGTGTTGGGAGTGCACCTACCCACATGACTCTTATAAAATTTGTTTGCATTCTTCCTTCAGCAGTTCGTGCAGGTTCGTTCGTTCGTTACATTGTTTACATCCGAGTATTTGAGCAAGTTTTTTGTTGAAGAATATTAGTAAAAAAAAATGCCGAAATGACAATATTTTCAACATTGACCACAATACTTTCTCTGCCGACGGGGATTGTATGAGAAAAGTATCACTTTTAGCAGCTCTAGATCGTTGGATTCTTTTTGACAGCACCAGTTGGATTCTTTTTGACAACCATTTCGTGTTTCTCCGCACCACTCAGGTAGTTTCCATTTAACACCGGCAAAAAAATTACCTACTCTTAAGTATATTCTACCCAAAATTAAGTTTAATTCACGTAAATTTAAGAAGATGCAATTTACTCAAAAGTAAATTATTGGGCTGAACTATATCGTTGGGTCGAATCTCTCGTTCCTTTTTTGATAACAATAACGAGTGCAAGTGAGAGGCTGAAGTCAATATTAAGTAAAAAGAACTCAAATTTTGGGTAGTATTTTTTCTCCGTGTATGGTTTTCGTGATACTGAGGCTGTGTTCCATTTGGAAAATTTTCACTTAGATTTGACACTTCGAAAATAAATTAAGATGTTCGAAAATCCCTCTGTTGTTGATCGGCCGATTTTCGAGAAAGCGTCTGTCAAAATTTATTCCTTGTCTGTCAGAAATAAGTCTGCTGGAATAGCAGGTTTATTTGAAAATTTTCCATCTGTCAAATTTAAGTAAAAATTCACCAAATGGAACACAGCCTGAGTTTTTGTTTTCTTACAGTGTAAAAAGGATGTGAACCGTTCAGAATGCCCTCGCGCGTTAAATCTGAAAAATTCGTCTCTCCTTCGGAGCAATCAAGCTTCGTTAAGTTGAAAAGCTTTTCCTCTCGATTCGTGCTGTTTGTTATTCGTGGTGCATCTCGCTCTGCCGTAAGGGTCGAGTCCGTTAGTTAAAGCGAGAGGAGTGGCACTCGGTCTCCATCACAGTGCGCGTGTGTGTGTGTGCGCTAATTTTTTTGAAATCGAAAATTTTCTCTCAACAAAAGCCGTCAGCCAGGCAGCCAGCAAGCGTAAGCAAGGCAAGCAGCAAAAGCTTCACACTCGAGTCGACTAGAATCCAAGATGGCGATGTATGTTGTGATCCGAGTTTCGCGAGCACGTCAGTGAGCGAATTTTGCTGCGGAAAATAGTTGCTAGCCAGCGAATACGACTCCACCGGAAGTGTGAAAAGCGTACGGATACCGTTACGAAGTTGAAAAGTGCGCTGAAGTGTTGTGGGGCCGCCTGGAAGGCAATTTGAATTTCATCGTCGGTCGGAAGTGCGAGTGCTCGTAGTTTTTCTTTCTTTTCTTCCCCCTTGGTCTTGGTGAGTGAAAAAAGAGTTTCACCTTTCCTGCTGCCAGCTACCGGACCAAGTTGCTGCTGCGGTCGATCGGAGTTCGGGTTTGCAAGCAGAAGAAAAGAAGAAGATTCTGTGTGTGCCTCGTAGCGGTAGCGCTAGCTTTACGAACCGCCCTTGGCCAGACGGGAAGGCCGGATTGTGCGGCCGGAAGAAAACGTCGCTTCTATTCCTGCCGAGAGTAGGTTGGTGTTTTCCCCTTTGCTGTGTTCTCATTTGCCGGCGTGAAAAATATTCCGTTTTTGGTCGGAAAGAGTGATTCAAGTTTCGATTCCAGATCGAAAACGCAGTGGTGTACGTGAGGAAAAAGAAGAAAATTTGGCCTCGGAATAAGGTTTTTTTTGTTGGTGAATTTTCTCATTACGCGCTCCGTAATATATTACTGATATTTTCTGCCAAGAGAAAAGGACGTCGTTCATCGATGTGCAGCCGGAATTGAAGAGGATTGGTTGGTTCAAATTTCAGGTGAGTATCACGATTTTACCTATGCAAGTATTATAGTAAAGCTCGTTTGCCGCAGGGAGTCGAGACTTTGCGATTTTTTTTTCTGGTGGCTGGCTGGCTGCTGCCAAAGCTCCCCATTATTGGAGATTCCTTCTTCTTTCACCTTCTGCTCTTCGCGCAGCGATTCCTCTTTCTGTGCTGTTATTAGTGTTCTTGTTATTTTTTTTCCATTGAGGAGCGCATATTCCCTCTCTTGTTCTTGCCGCTTTGCTTCTCCGGGGTACTGTTTTCAGTCTTCTTTTTCTTTCGTTTCGTCACCCGTTGGACCACTGCCACCACTACTACCAGCCAACCGACCCATCGATTCAGTTTCCATCGGAGTTCCACTCCACTATCACCACGCTGTAAAACTACCATCTCCGTCACCAACACCAGCACGGTTGAAGAGACGAATAGCATCATCAAATCGCTGGCAGCAATGGCAATGCTTCATCGCCGCCACCGCGCCGTCATACTACATCGCATCGGTAGAGTAGTAGCAGGAGAAGCAGTCAGTCAACCACGGCAAGCAGCGGTAATGGTGGAAGTGAACTGCTGCGAGCTATGCCTCCTCAATGTAGAGCAAGAGCCACAGCCAGAGCGGTCAGAAAGAAACGGTGATGATGAATCGGTTTTGTCTATAATGATACGGTAGATGTGACCTGAAGAAGGAAGACCCGTCGCCGTCGTCCGCGATCGATTCCAATCCGTGTTGGTGCTCAAGTGTTGCCGTCGATTGGTATCGTAGGGTCGATACAGTGTTGAAATTGATAGGTATTTAGATTTGGAAGTTATTAAATCGAGGAAACGGGTTGGAGCAAAGTTTGGAACCGAAACTATGCATACGCACAAGATGCTTTGAATGCTCCTTCGATGTATGGAAACCGAATTGATGGAATCCACAAGCTTCTTCAGGGATGTTCAGACTGGGAAACCACCATTGAAGTACCCAATCCTTTCTGTCGCTGGCGTCACCTTGGATGGGAACTTATAGCGAATTTGTTTATTATCCAGGTGAACCCGAGCTTATTGGCAGTGTGAATCTCAACCCGACCCAGGTTATAAAGACACGTTCACACTGACGTTTGACAGACAGCAGACCCAATCTTGATACCCGATCCAGGTTGGAACTGCATCAAAAACAAATTCGCTATTAATCTCGTTTCATCATATAAGAGAAGATCGAGGCATTGCTTGGACCACGCTCGGTGTCCTGTACCAGGTCAAAGAATGATTATTCCAAGGTTCATGTATTTGGTATTCATTGACTTAAAAGTAGTTTTCAACGACTCAATCACGAATCACAAGTATGTGTGGTGTACCCTGAGACTCAAGGGAGTCTCGGATACAATCGTCAACCTCAAGGCAGTCGTCAGCGCAGTAAAAGGCTTCCATGTGCAAAGTCCTGCATAACGGAGCCTTGTCCAACACTATCGGGATATTATAGTCGTTGGTGTGAAGTAAGGACATATACTATCACCGCTATTGTTCCTCATCGTAATCGACTAGATCATTGTAGGTGCTAAACGCTCCTCTGCGGCAGGTCTCATCATTAACGACAACAAGACCAACTCGTGGGATGTAAACTTGGACAACCTTTCCAATTTTTAGTAGCTGGCAAGCTAAACAGTCAGGCTGTCTTTGTGAATTCACGAAATATTTCACGATTACTTTTTCGAAGGGACGTATCAGTTTGTGTAAACAATGCATTTGATCATCGGTTTGGCGTAACTGGTATCTCGTCCACGCATACTAACACCACTATCAGGTAGGGGAAATTGACAAGACCAACAATTGAAATGGCCTTAACTCCATTTTGTAAACAAACCTTGTAAGGCTATTTTCTCGCGAACCGAAGTCCGCAAAGACAAACCAAAATAATGAACATGTAGAGGAAATTTTCCTCTACCCGATTGTGGTTTAGGTTTGTGAATGAAGGTTTTGGTTCGCGAGAAAATTTCCTGACAAGGTTTGTTAACATAATGGAGTTAAGGCCACTTCAATTGTTGGTATTGATTTCCCCTATTTGATGGTAGTTTTATGTTCTAGTATGCGTGGCGAGCTACCAGTTACGCCAAACCGACGATCAAATGCATCGTTTACAACAGCTGATACGTCACTTCGAAAAAGTAATCGAGATTTGGAGATCAAACCAGGTTAGTAACCGTACTCGACTTTTCTAACTCCAACGTGAAATCTGTGCGGAGAATACTGAAAAGTTGCAGGTCTTTATCAACCGATGCCGTGGGTATTTAATTCATGCTTGATATTCTCACAACTGGATCTAGAATGCCAAATTGCATCGTAGATATCAACAGAAATTCGGGAGCGTAAGTGGAGGTGGATCGGCCAAACACTACGAAGGGGCAGAATTGTAATCTGCAAGAAAGCGTAACCTCACTTTTTAACTGCACGCCCAATGAGATAAATTCAAATTTAAGTTCAGTTTACTCATAAATCGCAAAAAGTGCAGGAACTCAGCGGTGAGTAAATTTGCCTCATGTTTTTCCAGGAAACAAAAATCCCGAATATAAGGAAAGTAAAGATTGGATTCACTCAGTCTATTGGTACTACTCCTAGACTGAATAAAATTTTCGTCAATGTTCCTGATTTTCCGGCAGATTTTTTTTGGTTTTCCACAGGAATACGTGAAGCAAATTTACTCATCGTTGAGTTCCTGCACTGTTTTGCGATTATGAGTAAACATGTAAAATATCTCCAGAACAATTTGGAGAACGATAGATATTTTGGTAACACATCTTTGTATTCCACAAAATGTTATTTGGCTTATAGAACTTCAAGATCGAAACTCCAGGAAGATTTGAAGAACTGTTAATACTGCGTTTGTCCTGCTCAGGTCTCTTGTATTGATATATGCTTTTTCCGACGTACCAAAACAAGATTTTGGCTCATTTTTTGCAATGAGAATCATTGCTTTTTTACGAATCCTTATTCCACGAGATTTCAGAGATCTAGATCAACTTGTTAATTCAAATCTCATCTCATTTTTTTTTTATTTCTACAAAGTAGTAGGTAGTAGTTGTTTAAGGCAGATGTGATGTTTGAGTTGGGTTTATTATTGAAAAACCGGGAATTATAATTTTTATTCGAATGGACACCCTGGAATTTTTATTTTAATTTCTACATTTTTTATAGGAGAAAACTACCCATAAATGCATTACAGTTCCCATTTGAACATGAAATCAAGCAAGGGTGTGACTTATACTTTTATGAGCAGAATATTCCTCAGAAATCTCTTGGTATGACCTTTAATTTGGAAACCATTGCATTCTTCTCAGAATTTTCACGGAATAATGGAATAATAGACAAATATTTAAAAGGGGCCAATGAGCTACGCGTAAAAAATGACTTTAAACGTCGATTTCTCACGAATCTCAAGACTCCCGCGTAATCCACTATATACGTAATCCACACTTCCTCTAGCAGATGGTGCTGTTAGTCAATGGCCTTTTCAAATGGTCATCGAGAATTCTTATCAGAAAACAGATATATTGAAACTCTCCTTAGAATAACCCTTTGAACTATTCTGAGAATTTGATTCCCTTGGAATTCTTCTCGGAATCATGGTTTTGCCGCAATACACTCTTAAATTGGACTGAACTAGTTAGATTAAATAATGTACATTCCATCTCTATTCCACATACTTTAGGAAATACGACTAAAAAGTGCACTTTTCAATTGTAACATTTGTAACGCGTAACATTTGAAAAGGGAAATCAAATCCGGATTACTTTCAATGTAAATTTTAAGCCTTTTTCTTTGATATCTTATGTCTTGTGTCTACATGTACCTGAGTATGTAATCACAATACGAGCTGGAAAGCTACAGTGCCCTAGTGGGCACTACAGCTCGAGTCGTCTGTTAGTATTTTAGCACAGCCAGATGTATTGAGTTAAAGCGAAGACATCATATCAAGAAGACTGGCAACTTTGGCAGAATCCAAGCGACAGATACAGTAGAGCTGCACTTGAGTGAAGGTGGAAGCAACGCATAGTAAAAATGAGCAAATATACAAACCTTTCTTCTGAGGATGTAATCTTTGCTTTCAAATTCGTTCGAAGCATTTACTTTTGAGTAGAAATACTCATAGGGAGAGATGGGCGGAGACAATGGTTTGAGCCAAATGAACTGTCTAAATCTGAGCCAATCGAACATTCCATCAGAATTTTTCCGAGGATTTCTTATTCTCACTAGAATAAATTTGAGAGTATTGAAATCGAACAGAAATTCAATCACCTTTATGTTTCGTGTGCTTCTAAAATTCAACTAGTTTTTGGATTCAAAACAATATTCTAACTCTATTGATTAATTGATCTTCGTTGGTTAATTAATTCTATTGATTAATTGATCTTCGTTGGTTAATTAATGGCACCAAGAAATGTGCGAAATATTGCGATGCAATCAATTATTATTTTGCACGTAAATCGAATCAAAAATAAAAGTCATGTGAAATGCTAGGGTTGCAAGATAATTTAGGTACTGCCGAATTTATCCCTGCTGCCGAATTGTATTTTGTTTTCTCCGCCTATCTCTCCCTCTGAGTATTTCTACTTTTGGGCGGCAGATGACGCGATTGTACTTGTCTCATAGCGTTCGTATGAGAAAATAGAAGAGTTGCCAGTCTTCTTGATATGATGTCTTCGGTTAAAGGCAAAATTTCCATTCATAAGTAGCATTAAATTGACTCCCAAATAATGCTTCTCTAAGCAGGTCGCTTTCTTAGCTGTACGGCTAAAAATCGGGCCTTCTGTTTCGTGACATTTTTACCAAAATATGCAACATGTTGATGATCTTTATGCACAAACGTGAAACGTGAAGTTCGATTATAATCACAAAATACGAAGTAAAGGGTGTCCACGATGAAATTGCCACACACAAAATTGATTCGCAAAATTCGAGTTTTCATCCGATTGCCATCAAATTTTCAGGGATTGAGAAATAACTATTAAACTTCATTTTACCATTTTACTCGTATTTTATTTACAGTCCATACGCAAATGCCCGCACCTTGGCCTTAACCCCGGCCATAAGATTCTGCACAACCTGTGAATCAACCGTTTTTTGCATGTAAACCCATACTTTCTTCAGTTCCTCGACTGTCTTCACTACCTTAGGTCGTTTAAGAAGGTGCTGCTTCATAATCGCACAGTACTTCTCGATGGGGCGGAGCTCCGGAGTGTTGGGAGGGTTGAACATTTTCGGCACGAAATTGACCTTATTGTCCGCATACCACTTCAGCACGTCCTTGGAGTAGTGGCATGAGGCCAAATCCGGCCAGAAGATTGTTGGGACGTTGTGGGCCTTCAGGAGAGGAAGCAGCCGCTTCTGGAGGCACTCTTTTATGTACACCTGTCCGTTCATCGTGTCCTGGGTCACGAAAGGTGCACTCCGCTTCCCGCACGTGCAGATGGCTTGCCAAACCAGGAATTTATTCGCAAATTTGGACATCTTCTGAGTGCGGACATGCTCCGGAACGCTGAACTTATCCTTGGCCGTGAAAAACAGGTTGCCGGGGATCTGTTTGAAGTCGGCCTTCACATATGTTTCGTCGTCCATGATGCAGCATTCAACATTCGTCAGCATGTTGAGGTACAACTTCCTGGCACGGGTTTTGGCGGACTTGTTCTGCTACTCGTCGCGATTAGGGGCCTTTTGTACCTTGAACGTTCGAAGCCCAGCCTTAGTTTTGGCCTTCTGGACAAAACTTCGGCTTAGGTGCAGCTTCTTAGCCACATCCCTAACGGAGGCGTTCGGATTTCGGTTGAAGGCCCCAACTACGCGGTTGTGATTTTTGATGTTGTACGGAATACTTTTTCCTTCACTTCTGGGCTTCCGATCGGTTGTCAACCGTTCCTCGAACCGCTTTATCACTCGCGACACCGTGGAATTCGCGATTCCCAACGTTTTAGCGATGGAACGATGCGAGAGATCCTTGTTGTCGTGATGAATGCGCAAGATTTTATCACGCACGAGCTGTTTTTTCGACTCCATTTCCGCGAGTTTTGATCACAGGACTTTAAAACTTGCAGGATGTAAATAATGCACTATGAACTAAATCCACCCAAATTTTCATTAAATTCTACCCAACGGTTAAAAAGTTAGAGCAATTTCATAGTGTGGCAATTTCATCGTGGACACCCTTTAATACCATTTTCCACTTTGTTTCATGATTTCATACTGCTGCCAAAAACTGGTGCATCATAGTGTGTAGGTTGTGGTAGGTCCAGGTCATAAATTTTCAGCTTTCAACAACATCCGGAAAGGAAACCCTTTACCGTGTCGTCAAGGTTGATCGTGATGAGGCTTCGCCAAGAGGTAGGTCACTCCGCACACCAGTCTTGGGTCATCTTTTTTGTCAGTGTGTGGATCGTGCCGGTCATAGAGCAAGCTTCGATTGTTTCTAAAATATCCATCCCGGTAATCCGGTATGTCTGACTCCATGAATGTTTTGGTTTGAAATCGCAAGGATTACGTGACGGGTGTGCAAAATTTTGGTGTTTTGTGTTCATAGGATAATAAAAGTCGCCCAAGCTGTGCCGAATCTAATTTCGACAGAATGTGTTGAGTGACTTACCAGTTGGGCTTCGCCCTACGTTTATATGTTGGCCGTCCGTGTTGTTGCTGCGAAGTGCAAGCTGCTGGGAAATACCGAACTTTATGAATTGCTTGACACCGATGGTAACCGCCTCAAGGTCAAGCCTCAAGCTTGAATATCTTTGTAGGAATCATTATTGTTGTAATAGGGGTACGAGGGGCATAGTGAGCATCCCGTGCACCAGTTTGGACTTCCGGCCGTTCGGAACAAATTGATTGGTGGTAGGATCAAAATCATAATGATATTGAGCCTACTACCAGTTGATTTGTTTCATGCAGCTGGAGATCCAGAGCCAAACTGCGGGTTGCTCACTATGCCCCTCCTCTCCCTAAATGCACCGCTGATTTAGACAACAATATAGGGGCTGTTCATTAACTATGTAGAGTTTCCACCTGCGTAGACAATTCTAGATAGAGCTGGAATTATTATTGTTGATTTATCGGAAATCAAGGCACGCCTACACTAACCAACATATCCATCGGGTAGGAGAAGCCTTCCTCTACTCGATGGTGATGTCGATTTATCAAGGAGAACCATGACTTTCAAGAAATCATCGAGAGAAGTCATTGCTTTTTTTTCTCTGTTCGGGACCTAACATCACTGCGACCAGTAATTTGATCTACAATCCCGTTTCCTTAGTTTAGTGCATGTCGTATTACTCCATAACTATTGTGAAATTATGAAGTAGTCGAATTTTTTGCAGTGTTCATTCTTGCATTTATCGCAAGGATCCGGCTCTAATTGATAGGTTTTGCTATTTATACCCTTCGGAGTGTTTCAACTTAACACACCCTCCAAAGGCGCGCCCCTTTGTCAGTCAAAATTAGATACCTTAGCAACAAAATTAAGGAAAGACGCTGATAATGACCATGCATCAGAACCCTAGTCTTAGCCACTTCTAACTAGGGAACAACGAATAGAAGATTAGGAATCACATAGATGAAGACTAACTAACTCATTTTTTCTTTGTTTCAAGATCATCCTCGGTGGACAAAGTCTTGTCACTATCAACAAGGCATAAAAAGTAACAAGGACTAAGATGTGTTCCTTTGATTTCTGAAAAATCCTGTACCCCTAGTTTGAAGTAATCAGGGCTAGGAATCGGTGGTAGATCTTACATCCCGAAACGTGCCACGAAAAGGTAATCTACCCACGTTATGGGGCGAGTCATTATTTACAAAAGCTGTTACTCCCTAGTTCCAGCTCTATATAAAGGGTGATACGGTCAAAATTTGGTCAAGGGAAAACGCGTGTAAATCGGTGAAATCGTTTATTTAAAAAATCAAATTAAATTTCTTTTTCAAGTTCAATTAGTATAAAATTCAGGAAAAATATTCAGTTAGGCTTCCGCTTTTCCAAATCCGAATTGCCGGGCCTTACGCTTGACCCCTGCCATCAGATTTTGTACAGCTACCTTGTCCACCTTCTTCGCCGCAGAAAGCCAGTTTGCCTTGAACTGCTGCTCGCCCTTAGCAGTTTTTTTGGTCTTCTTTAGGTTCCGCTTGACAATAGCCCAGTATTTCTCAATTGGGCGGAGCTCTGGCGTGTTGGGAGGGTTCTTGTCCTTGGGAACCACCTGCACGTTGTTGGCGGCGTACCACTCCATGGCCTTTTTACCGTAATGGCAAGATGCCAAATCCGGCCAAAACAGTACGGAACAACCGTGTTTCTTCAGGAAAGGCAGCAGACGTTTATTCAAACACTCTTTCACGTAAATTTCTTGGTTGACAGTCCCGGAAGCTATGAAAATGCTGCTTTTCAAGCCACAGGTACAGATGGCTTGCCAAACCAGATATTTCTTTGCGAACTTTGACAGTTTCATGTGCTTGAAAACATCTGCTACCTTTCCCCTTCCTTTTGCCGTATAAAACTCCTGTCCCGGAAGCTGCTTGTAGTCGGCTTTGACGTAGGTTTCGTCGTCCATTACCACGCAGTCAAACTTCGTCAGCATCGTCGTGTACAGCCTCCGGGATCGCGCTTTGGCCGTCGTATTTTGTTTATCATCGCGATTTGGAGTCACTACCTTCTTGTAAGTCGATAGTCCGGCTCGTTTTTTGGCTCGATGCACGGTTGTAGACGATACACCCAGCTTATTTGCGGCATCTCGGAGAGAGAGGTTAGGGTTTCGCTTGAAACTACCGGCAACTCTCTTTGTCGTCTCAGCGGCTTCCGGTTTTCGATTTCCCCCCGATCCAGACTTCCTGGCTGTCGACAAACGTTCCCCAAACACTTTAACTACATTTGTAACGGTTGATTTGGCAACTTTTAGCGATTTTGCCAACTTTGAGTGCGAGTAGCTCGGATTTTCGTGATGCGCGAGCAAAATTTTGATACGCTGCTCTTCTTGCTTGGACGGCATTTTGACAACTGAAGAGTGAATTCCAAAATCAAAATAGGAGCAACATTCTACACACACACACCTTCTAAATGAGGGGTGTTCAGGTTTTTTAAATGCAAAATTGAAAGAAATACGTCAAGTTGATATTGACCAAATTTTGACCGTATAACCCTTTAGAATTGTCCATACAATTTTTTTTAAATTTGTATGGGCCGTGGATAATTACCAACTCCCTCCCCCTCCTAAACTGTCTGCGTAGTTAATGAACAGCCCCTTACGTTAAAACTTTATTCAAATAATAAAATACAAAATTTATTAATGGCTTGGTTTTAAGTGTCTCAAGACTGGCGATGGACTGATCTCTCTCTTCCTTGTCTATACCCCGATAGACGTCGATCGCTTTGACAGGGTATGTCAAACGGTGAGCCCACCGGCAATTAGATGAGTTGGTTCGTAGGGTGGTCCTCCCAACAATTATCATCATCAGTTGTGACAGGACGAGGTGCTCAGTTCACTCCACGTGCTGTGGCCCATTTTATTGGAGATTGGCTACATTGAAGAGAGGAAGACAATATCGGATTCGACCAGCCGGAAGGACTGTTTTAGGATTCGCATTTTCCCATCAGGACACTCGTGACAAACAACGACAGTTGCTGTGCTGTACATAAATTTCAAATGTGTGTATGTGTGGAATGATCTTTAATAAATAATCAATCATTAAGTGATTGGTTGATTGATTAATTGATTTTCTGCTTATTTCTACTATCCAGACCATCCAAAATCTTCTACTCAAAAGCCAGGTCTAGACTGAACTTTTGTACTGCTTAGGGACCACGAATTAAGTATGTACTCTAAGAGGAGAAAGGTAGATTAGAAATCAGTGAGAAGCAATGCATAAGATATAGGATGAACTATGTCTAATGGGCGAGCGGGTGATTTTTCATCATTGTCGTGTGACATGGATGAGCCCTTATATTTCATGTAGAAACATCCTTTGGGAATATGAATATTGTACCTTCCATATGGATTTTGAGTGGCCACCATAGTGGGATGATCTTAGAGAATCATGTTGAGTTTGTTTCCAGAACAGCGGGATGTCATTGTACCTGTTAGCAATAGAAGAATGCTCCGTTGGAAAAAAAAATCACTAAGGCCAAAAACTAGAACACCTAGGCCCAATTGGCGTCTTGCAGTGAAACTTTTCCAAGCTTTCGCCTCCTACATTTCGAAGTGAGAACTACTAGAAGGAGGATAGTTTCCAAATTTTCCAAGTAAAACAGACGATTTTTGGGGCAAATCGGTCTATAAAGAAAAACTAATAATTTCCCGTGGAAACTTTTGCTTGAATCGTGTAAGAAAACGTGTTTGCAAACTAACTGTTATTATTTCGGTATGGATCGGAGATGTTTTCATGGCAAACTATGCATAACAAGTTTGCACCCACAGGGAGAGGTCCTCCTGCGCAGCTGCATTTTTCAGAAAATGGTGAATATGTGCGATTTTCACTAAGATGAAAGTGGAAATTAAGTGAATTTACTTAGGAAAGGTTGTATCATGCCGGTGGTAATAGAGAATTGGTTGTATAGGACGCCATTATTCAATAAATGTTCATTTTGACCTTTTTTAAGCAAACATATTGATACTCACAATTTTCGACGGAAAACGCACCGGAACTTGATTTACTCAACACGCTCCATACTATTAAATGGTGCTAGATGGTCTTCAAAGTGATAACAAGATGACAAATCATCTTTATTTTGAGTAATTGAGCAATTTACTTCTGTTTACCATCATATTTACGATGCAGCATTGATGGAGCCGTGAAATGAAATGAATATATCTTATGAAAGTTCACCTGGAAAAGTCAAAGATGCACATCAGTCTGATCGTAAAAACGTTTTCTTCTTCAATTCGAATGTTATATTGGAAGGATTTTACGCAGGATTGATGAAAATTAAGATTTAATGCTAATTTTCACGAATTTTATGTGCAGTCTGTCATATATCATCATCATGCAGTGGCGACATCTGCGTTGAGCTCTTGCGGCAATATTCCAAATTTAGACAAAAAGTGTCTAAACTGGTGCTGGAGCTAGATGTTTAAAATCTATATTTTAGAATATTGTGACGCAAATTTCTCATCGTTTTATTGTTACTAAAAACTTCAATTCAATGGTATCAGTTGGTACATAACTTGGGGGTTTCTA